GTGACCATTCAGATCAGAGAGCGACATTTTGAGTTTAAACCAACTGGATTTCAGCACTGAAACTGGAAACACAAATGAGAGACTGTTGTAAGGCTCATTCTGCTCTGACTGGATCATCATCTTGGAAACTAAAATGCAAAATTCTAACACTTATAACTTTGCCATAATGTCAATGCTTTTGTAATTGAAAATATGTCTGAAATAAATCTGTATGTCATCCCTGTGAGCAGTGTCACATCCACACTGACTTACCCCGACAGCGTCCGGTGAACCGAGATACTGGCCGTTTTCGGTGCTGACAAAAGTAGTCCAGCAAGTTGTGCTTGGGGACTGTATAATGTTTTTCTTCTCAAAACAACATGTGTTCAAAAGAGTGATACATTTGCATCACAAAACCATCGTCGCCTAAAAAGTCAGACCTCATTATCGCTTGGCACTATTTTCTTTCTGTTCGTATCATTGCGCGCTGCCGCCAGGTGACAGCCGCACCTGGTTCACTTTGTTTGCTGCTCAGAATGTTAGCGACAACATGTCTGATTACAACAAAGACAATAAAGACTTTGCCTTTACCACAAGCCCAAGGGGAGATCTTTGTGAACCCGAATATACTGATGCCGAATTTCACCAGATGGAGTTAAAACGGGCAGAGAGAGAGAGAAAAGACAGAGAAGTGGTACAAGTTGAAGCTGGAGCTGTGAGAGACCGAGTGAGCGACAATCACCATCACGTCATTTATAAACTCGTATACAGTGAACATAGAGCCGACACTGTGACTGAAGTATGGACGACTAATAGAAACAGAGAATCATTCACACGTCCATGTAGCTGCTGCCAAGAGTGTACGTGACATTTACAATAGTAATAACAGTCGACTTATAAAGTTACGTTTTGTAGAAGCTTCACTGGTGATATGACACTGAGTGATTTACTGCACACAGCGTTACAGCTGATTCTTGAGTCTGTTCTCTTGTAAACACAGCGGCACTTCTTCGTTCTTACCTGGTTTGGTTTCCACATTGAAGCCAAAGGCAAGAAGCCAAAGTTTCCTCAGCGCAAAGTCCATGACAGGAAAACAGTGAAATGTGCTTGGAGATTCAGCCAGATTTTTGTTGTTACAGCCTGGAGAATCAAGAGTTCGCACCATTTTTTAGATATATTCTTATGTATCTTATACAAGCTCATATACTTCTGGCTCTAGCTCTCTCGTTAGCTCTCTCGCGTGGCCGCGGTCTGCGCATGTAAACACTGCTGAACAACTGCACAAAGTGATGGATCGGTGCGCGGCTGTCACCTGGTGGCCGCGCGCAGTGGTACGTACGGAGAGAAAATAGCGCCAAGCGATTATGAGATCTGACTTTTTAGGCGACAATGGTTTTGTGATGCAAATGTATCACTCTTTTGAACACAGATTGTTTTGAGAAGAAAAACACTTTATTATACAGACCCAGCACAACTTGCCGGACTACTTTCCTCACCACCGAAAACAGTCAGTATCTGGGCTCACCGGACGCTGTCGGGGTAAGTCAGTGTGGATGTGACACTGCTCACAGGGATGACACACAGATTTATGTCAAAAATCCCAAACTATCCCTTGAACTGCATTTGCTACCAGTAAAATCTATAACTGATTTGAACATGTCTACCTCATATCTGTGGACACATATAGGTCATATTTATATATATTTTTTTAAATCATAAATTATTTTTCACCAAGTTAAAATGTAGCAGTCACATTCTCTGTCCCACATAATCTTCATATTACTCATCACATCTCTGTCCACTCTGCTTCTCTTCCTGAAATAAACATGAAACTTCACACAGTTTAAGAGTGAAAAGTGCACAGAAATACAACGCACTGGCCACTAAATATGAACTTAGAACCTGAGCTGGGTCGTACTCAGGTACATTTTCTTGACTCACTTTTTAAAGAAATTGAACTTATTGTTATTATTATTATTATTATTATTATTATTATTATTATTATTATTATTATTAATCATAATAATTTATTTATTTTTCTTAAAATGACATTTACTTAAAATTATGATTCACATATTATGTCCCAGCAATATCTCTGAGTTACTCTTGGACCACTAGTTATTGTATTTATTTTGAAGTAACCTTACTCTTATTTAGTACTTTATATTGGTATGTGGGCCTGTCGATTAAAAAGACCCAAGTTAATCATTTAGTATTTTTAACAATTTGATAATAATTAGATTAAAAGTGTTTCAGTTCCACAGTCTTATTTCATCATTCTGTAATTTATGACATATTTTTCCAATTTTCTTTTCATTTTGACTCTTCATAAAATTTGTACAAACATCTCTAGAAATGTTTTGGTCTTTTTAAAGACCCAGCAGATGGAAGCATTGTCAAGTGTTTTGCATGTGGTGCTGTCTGAGGTTCTGGAATGATACTACATTAACAGATTGAATAGATTTTTGTTTTTGTGTTGACCAGCTTTCAAATTCCAACCATATTAAATGTTATGGCTTCAAAGTCATGAAGTGGAATATTTTTTTAACAAGGTGAGATATTTACTTATCTTGTAATAGCTATAGTTTCCCCCAAAACTACTAGTATTATATAGTAGTAGTACTAGTAATATTCTAATAGTAATAGTCTAATTCAAAATAGAACACATTTCATGTCTGTGTCAGTTGTCAATTAAATTAACTGAGAATTGTTCTGATTTAAATATATAATACGTTTATATACATATATCAACATACAGTGTTGGGAAGGTGACTTTTAAAATATATTCCCCGACAGATACAGATTACATACCCCCAAATGTAGTGTGTAACATAATCCATTAAATTACTTAAAGTGAGTAATGTAATCTGAATACTTTGGATTACTTGGTTTGCTGTAGAGAAGCAAAGACGAGGGAATCGTGACATAAGATGTTTTGTCTGATAAAAGAAAATAAAAAGTCCAGACTTTACTGAACCAGATTAATTAATTAATTATTAAATAATTAATATTATTGATAGAAGACGAGGAAACACGTCCACACAGCATGATTTAGTCCTGTTTTAGTCCGGGTTTAGTCCTGGTTTAGATCTAGTTTAGTCCTGGTTTTAATCCTGGTTTTAATCCTGGTTTTAATCCTGGTTTAGCCCAAAATGTGAAAAAAGGAAAACAGGAAAATACCACCGTGTAATTCATTTATTTTAACAAAGTAACTGTAATCCAATGACCACTCACTGAAACAGTAACTGTAACTGAATACAGTTACTCATAATTTGTACTCTGATTATGTAACTCTGGTACATGTAATCTGTTACTCCCCAACACTGTCTATCGGTTGGTGTTGAGTTATCACTTCATCTCTTGCATCTTCCAGTCCAGCTGATGTGAGTTGTTCAGTTCTGCTTCCTTCTGCTGGTGAGACTCATTCACCTCAACACTTCCTCCACTCAAGCTGTGGTCACAACTGATACCAAAACCTGCATGAGAGCACACAACTCTAGCACCTTTTTATACCTTCACATTTCCATTGCCAATTATAAGCCGATTAGAACTTCAGTTCTCAGATTGGCACGGTTAATGTATCAATCACGGAACTGATCAAAACTGTCTTTTCTACTTCAGCCAAGTTGTTGTGAAACTTTAACCCTCTCCAGGCAGGTGTTGCAGATTTGCAACAGCTAAATACCAATTACCTACTTACTCCACATCCAGATTTTATGAACCTTTTTTACTCAGGAGACTTTTCTCCCATCCATGCTGATAAACGTGGACGATGCAGACTGTGCAAGACCGGCTACACACAAACAGCCTGCCAGAAGTGCAAAGTACTTTTGTGCTTTACAAAGGATAAAAATTGTTTCTTGAAGCACCACACGAAAAAGTGATGTTGTTCTGCCACGGTAAAGCTGTTACACTGTGCTTTATGTTTTCATTGTTATGAAAAGTGGTATAAACATAAAGTTATGTTCATATCATTTTCAGTCTTCAGTGTTAATTTACCACACCGGACCAATGCTGCAAATCTGCAACACCCCAGAACACACTGGATGTGAAGGTCTCTATCAAACAAAAAGTCAGGATTGTATATTACTACCCCATATGATCATTTTCCCCAAATATCAGATTTTTCCTGTTACTAAAAATTTGAGCCTGAGAGAGTTTTAACATTGTCCAAGAAAATATTTGACCTTCCGAGTATCAGATCTGTAATTTACAACAGGTCTGAATCAATATGTTAAAAGTAAACAGCACACAGCATTATCAGCTTCCAGATTCAATTGCAGTGAAATGTGTGGAGGTTTTTATTCATCTGATTTAAATACAAACATCCTCATATTCACATTAGTGTTTCAACATTTAAGCAACTTCAAACAGCAGTATGTCCTAAAACTATCCATTTCTATTTCAAATGTTCCAAGGTTTTGACATAGTTTAGACCAGAAGTGTCAAACTCCAATTCACAGGGACAAAATTAAAAACTGGGACTAAGTCGTGGGCCAAACTAAATATTTAGTGAAAAATTTCAACAACATCTGCATGTTTTCTCTTCTTTCAAGATATATATTTTCTTATCCTTTTCGTATTAAAATCAATGTTTAATAATAGTTTTGCTTAAACACTGAATCCAGAACAAACATAATATAAAATAATAACACAATTTGAAATAAGTTTATCTGTAGCTGGCATGCAGCTCAGTGTCCAAATATAATTATATTGTGGGCCGTATTTGGCCCTCAGGCCTGAGTCTGACATGTCTAAACTTTAGACATTTTGAAAATGTCGCCAGAGTCCAGTTTTTCAGCGAGAAAAACTCAAACTCATCATACTGTATCTGAATCAGTGGTTCACAAGTGTTAGAATCGTTTTGTATATTAACACCAAAGTGATCATTAGAAAAACATGAAAAACCTTTCATTTACACTTGAAATGACTGGTGTTTCACATGGAGATGAATCTGATATAGAGACAATGATTTATTTGTTTATTTATTAGTTATTTAAGTAAATGAAACAGGCATCAAGTTAAGACAAAACAAGAGAACATTCTTTCATGAGCATGTTCTTTTTGAATGACATGTCATATGTGCGAGCTGCTCTTCCATTGTCTGAATTCAATGAGGACAGTTTAAGTGGAACTAAACACCTAAACTCTGCCCAAAGTCATATTTCAGATAAAGCTGCTAGACTGAGCAGGACCTGGAGACGACTAAAAGGAGAGTGACAGAAGGACGGTCTGGAGGTGTAAGGAACACTGTGATTGGTCAAACAGGTTTTCACACTTCAAACTCCGCCCCCAGCAGACAGCTGTTTGTAAATAAAAACACTTGGCTTTTGTGATGTCACCAACTACTGGAAACTGCAGCTGCCACAGAAAGTAGCACACCAAGATTTAGGCATTTTTAACCAGAAAGATGCAAATCTATCTAGCTGTTTTTTCAGGGTAAAAATGCATACAAATTAAAAAGAAAATTTGGTTAGTTTAAAAAAATGAGATCTGGTTCCAGCTGTTCCCAGTAAGGAACCGTTCAAAAGAGCCGATTCATTTATGATTGGCTCTTCCCAAGCACCCAGAAAAAGCATTAACGATCCACTTTTATAAGGCTCCAGAGGAGCCTTGTTTAGGTGGAGCTGCTCTGCAGTTGAGTTTACTCTGGCTCCCTGTATTCTTCACAACAAAGATCTTTTTACAATTTTTCAACTTTTCGTAGTTGGTACCCTCCACAATTTTCATAATCTTGAACTTCTCATAGGGAGGGATTAACACCTCATCCTCACTCCTATTGATCGAATAGTCTTTGATGGGAGCGCCTAAACAGGTCTCAATCTGAAAGCAAGTCTCTGTACCAAAGTCTTCCATATTGGGATGGAATGAAGCGGAGGCGAACTGACCAAATCGTATTTCTTGGTTGAGTGTACCTGTAAATTCATCGTAGCTTCTCCTGTAGGTGGTATGGCATGTTTTGGCACTATTAAGTTTCTGTATAGCAGTAGTCAGCAAGTAATATAAAGTGTGGTATTTGAATTCATCAGTGCCATATTTGTCTGCACTGTCTTGAACCGCTGTGTTGAACTCTTCATGGACATCATCTCCAGTGTAGATGATTAAAGCTTTGATCTGCTTTTGGGTCAGTATTTTGCTGTTTTCTTTGTATTTTTTATTGGCAGTCTTTTCTTCATTCTCCCAGGTCCTTTTGAATAACGCATTATTGTTCATCTCTTTGGGGAAGTTTTCATTCTCCACCTTTTCAGCCATTTCCTCACTGCAGCCGTCGTACATGTCGTCAACCGAATTGTCCATCATACTCAGGGGAATTGTGACAGACTCCTGGACAATTTAAGAGGACAAAGAAGAAAGAAACTGTGTGTAAGATTTAGATTTAAAATCCCATAAACACGGCCTAACTATATTTGAACATGTCTATGAGGCAGATGAGTTCAAATCAAAAATGACTTTTACTGGTAACAATTATAATGCTGATTAATTCTAAATTACACAAAAAAACAATATTGTGTTGCCAGTTTCAAAGCTGAAATCCAGTTTGTTTTAAACCTAAAATGCGTGTCTGATCTGAGCGGTCACTACCTAAACCCCAGCACTGCAGCCTCTGCAGCTCAGTGTATGTGTCCATATACTGACAATGAGGACAACTTGTGTGTGTCCTCAATCTGTAGATTAAAGCCCAGGTTCAGTTGTGTTCAGTTCAAACTGTATGACTGCAGGCAACACACAATTTCTTTAAATAAAAGTATAGACCATTTGGACTTCTAGATCATTTTATAAAGAAATTAAATATTATCCTTAAACCAAGGCATATTTCTTAAGAAAGTGAATAAAATTAAAACCCTTACCACTGGAAAAGAAGTCATCACCAGACAAAGCATCAAAGCCAGCACTGTGGTCTCCATGTCTGTGAACTAAAGCACAAAGAAGAATGTAAAACAACACTGCATCAGCACAGAGTGAGAGAGAGTTCCTTCTTTGTTAAATAATATAGTAAGAAAGAATGACATCATTGTTATCAGAACATCAGTGTTTAACCACACCAGCCTTATTTATAATGTCCACATCACAAACATCAGCCTAATATTGAAGAGGTTCTCTACGTGGAGCTCAAAAGTGTAAAATTCACTTTATCCACAGACATTTGGAAAAAGAACATAATGAACACAACACAATTAACCAATGAAAGTACTGACACAAGCTGTCTTTGCTCTACCTGGAATGTTCCACAGTGTGACATTAAACAGCTCTACTTTACAATTTATTCAACTACAAGTGGTTAATAGCTCAAAAATATCTAGAAAAACAGAGTGATAGAAAGGTTTAATGCCATACTGTGAAACATTCCAGACAAAGCAATGACAGCTCTATGTGTCTTCATGGATGTGTGATATTCTGGCTGCTCAGTATTGTCTGTTTGTCGTGTTTGTGGAGAAAAGTGAGTATTATTTGTTGTTTCACATGCTCACCACACCATGTCTTTCACATTTTTATTCATTTAAACTCTTAAAACATGTCAAGTTTTTGCTTAACATTTCTATAGTGACTTAAATTAGTGGTCGGCCAAATGGAGTCGACACTCAAGACTGAAGACAAGAGTATGGTACAGTACACAGGACAAGTGTTTTCTGCTCTTACCTCACTTTGAGTCCAGTCACTTCGTCTGTAGGTGCAGTGAAAGTTTTCAGTGAACTCTTCCCAGATGTGAGTCCAGAGCAATGGCAATGCAAAGTTTTTGTACTGTATCCCAACTACTGCCCAAAGTACTATTTGCATTAGAACCCGCAGCAGGCGTTGACCATTTACTATACCACCACCAAATACAGCAATACATACAGAGTACACATCAGGCAGTACATATGAAAATGAGTCAAGATAAAGAACAGGAGCATGATGTTTTGTCCATTTGCTCTGCTGGAGTTAGTTACTTTCAGTGTGGAGAACCCTGACTCCGTCCCAGTCCCTCATGTGGTTTTGTCTCTTGCAGTGGTTGGATGTGGCTGATTTCAGGTTAAAGTCTGGATGACAAAAAGAATAGTTAATTCTAAGCTGCACTTTATTGCTCACGTGAGGAAGTATGCAGGATAAATAACATGTGAATAAAGCAAAATAACATGGATAAGAACTCAAAACACATAAGACCATTGTCCTCTGTCAGTAAAAGCATGTGCTGTATCTGAACCACTGCCCAAAGTATTTGCATCAGTTCCTCTTCTGACAGTGCAGACGTTGACCCTTTACGACACCTATCTCTACTTCTCTCACATCACATTTACACATTTTCTTTAATTAAACATCAGGCAGTAGGTATGAAAATGAGTCAAACATGAGAAGACAAAGAACAGTGGTATTAAAGGTAAATGCTGACAAAACATAAAATTAAACATTGTTAAATTTCTAGCATTTTTCCTCTCATGAAAATGATATGACCTGCCACTTATGTGATAAATGTCTCCTACAGTGGTACAGTAGTGCATGTGATCTCACTTGATACTTATTTATGTAATTATGTATTTATTTATTTAGAGCTCAAATCACATATTATATACACAGTGTTGGGAAGTTTACTTTTAAAATGTATTCCCCTACAGATTACAGATTACATACACCAAAATGTAGTTTGTAACATAATCCATTAAATTACTTAAAGTGAGAAACGTAATCTGAATACTTTGGATTACTTGATATTGTCATGCTTTTTAAAAGTACATGAACGTAGAAACCACATCCTGAAAATTCTTGTTTTTTTAGTCTTTACTTGACCAGATTAAAAATATTATTGATAGAGAAATAATTTTTATATGAAATCACAATTATTTCCACCCTACTGTTACTGTCATATTGTATTAGTTTAGTCCTGGTTTAGTCCTGGTTTTAGACTTGGTTTACACTTGGTTTAGTCCTGGTTTAGATCTAGTTTTGTTGTGTTGTGCCCTCATTTTATTATTTGTATTATGATAGAGACTTATGATTTAACCAATGGTGTGTAAGAACACTTGATCACGTGAGGCACAAAATTATGAATGGCCTGCACCTGTGAATAAACGTGTGTGTCCGTGGAGAATGGGTAACCACACAAAAAGAGAATACGAAGTGTCCTGTGTTTTAATGCTCACGACAACGCTGCGTAAAAGGGACCCTGCTAACAAATCACCTGTTCTCGACAAGAGAAAAGCTACAACGCAATTTTTAGGACGCGGGAGGTTCCATTCATGTCAGCGGGTGAAATAAAGACAAAAAAGTAAAGTGCAGTTTGGCCTATCCGGCTTTTATTGGCATTGCCGGACACGCGAACACGGCCACACCAACACACAATACCCCCACCCCATCCCCAAAACCCAAACCCAAAACCCCAAACCCCAGTGCAACAAAACAATAAAGAAACAGTTCGATATAAGTCCACCACCCTTCACCAACAGTAACAGTCCCGAGCAACTTCCCCCCCAAAAGTTCCCAAAGTCTTTCCCCTCGCTGCGCGGCAGCGTGACGTGAGTCAATGAAGCCTGCGGTTTACTCACGCCACCCGCGCTCCGGTTTTGTCCCACAGTCCAGCAGCTCCCGTGGCGAAGTGAGATCCAGCACGATTGGAAACGCAATAATCCCAAAATGCAGCGATATATTCCAAAATCACGAGCTCACGGTCCTGACAGCTCCTGGCATGTGTCCAAACTGGCGTGTGACGTCACAGCCTCTGCGCGTGTCCGCGCGCGCGCGCGC